ATCTACATCGCACCTGAGGATGAGTACATTTTGATTTGGAGGAGCAAATTTTTGGGTGAACTATTCCTTTAATCTACATTAAAACTCGTATTAGACCAACAATATCAAGCCAAATATTGCAGCATGAAAAAAACAACAACATACAAAACCTTGCTTCAAAAAACAAAATACGAAAGATAAAATAAACTATTAATGATTAAATAAAGAAATATATTTAGTAGTATATTTTAAATAAAAAATATTACTTTTTAGACTTCACGCCAAGTGTCATATAAAACCATATACAAGATTACAATGATAATGAAAATTATTTACTGCTTCGAATTTGCTAGTTGATTTTTGCAGTTAGAACAAGCAAATTCAGCTAAATCAAGTAGCGTTACTGATGACATTTGCTGAGAGGCCTAAAAAAAAAAAAACTTTTTTAACAATTCCCTTTTCACGCCGCACTCAAGTCATAGAGGTGTTATGGGGAGTCTGAAGGGTTATTGTTCAGTTGTAATTCAAATACAGGCTTTTGCAGTATCGCGCACAGGCTGAGCATGCAGTGTGATCTCTGAGGCCATTGGGCGCTGGATGCTTTTGTGAGGTGCTGCTGATGAGGAACAGAAAAGCAGACGCACAAACTGACTGGACTGATTGAACTCCAGCACAGACTGAGCTGAATTAACATCTAGAACGAATTCAAGACGTTCAGTTGCACTGTGTTAATATGGCAGTCTCTAGGGCCTTTCACACCAAATTTGTTGCAACATGTTTTTGAAAGTTTTGTATTTTGATTTTGTGTGAAAAAGTCTGTGCCCATTCTTCATAAACAGAACGTATCATTGCTCAAATAAGAGTCTAACCAGACTCTAGTTTCAGCTGTGCCAAATCAGTGACACTGTTATGACAGCACAAAAAGTTCAAGAAGTTTTCTAATGCAATCTCCCCATCCCATAATAATACATCAGACGCATTCACACATTCCAGCAAATCTGTTGCTATGGCAGTGCCGTCACCTGCTTCTCTGCTGTGTCTAAGATGGGGTGACGTGATTTTCCAGTTAAGCCAACTGCTGGATCTGCCTTCAATCCCAGAATTCCTCACACCTGCAGTGGATTAGCTGTCCAGAAAGACAGCGACGGATCTCAGAGCCTGAAAGAGTCTTCACTCCACAGCTCCTCTGTCTTGGGAGACAGAACGTTGTTTATCTGTGGTTATGAGGCATCTCCGGCAGAGCGATTTGTTTAAGTGGCAGCACTCTGTGAGAACAACAGTACCAAACAATTATATCTGTCACAGAATTACACATAACATATAATTTATAGAGCAAAAGCATGATTAAACAGAATGGGGAAAAAAACTGTATTTTTTAATCAACTGACAGACCCATACATTTTATAAGTAATTTAATAAAATGTAATGACTTACTTAATATAGAATTTATAGAGCTCACAACTATAGATATAAATAAATGTATATGTGTGTGTATGTATGTATATATGTGTGTGTGTGTGTGTGTGTGTATACACACACACACATTTTAAATGTAAAATACTAATATTAATAATTAAAACACAAGACAAGATTAAAGGCCAAAAAAGAGGGTAGAAAAAAAGAGAATGAAAAACTTGAATTGCTCATTTATATCATTAAACTGTGGTCTTTAATATTAAAACACCCTTTATACAAAATTATATGTACAGTGTCACAGAAATTTATGGAAACGCATTTCTTTGTATTTGTCTTAAATACAACGTATCAACAGTCATTCAAGGAAAATCTACAATAGACAGGAAATCAAACAAGGGTTTCACTGTATTTTTTAATCAACTGACAGACCCATACATTTTATAAGTAATTTAATAAAATGTAATGACTTACTTAATATAGAATTTATAGGGCTCACAACTATAGATATAAATAAATGTATATGTGTGTGTATGTATGTATATGTGTGTGTGTGTGTGTGTGTGTGTGTACACACACACACACATTTTAAATGTAAAATACTAATATTAATAATTAAAACACAAGACAAGATTAAAGGCCAAAAAAGAGGGTAGAAAAAAAGAGAATGAAAAACTTGAATTGCTCATTTATATCATTAAACTGTGGTCTTTAATATTAAAACACCCTTTATACAAAATTATATGTACAGTGTCACAGAAATTTATGGAAACGCATTTCTTTGTATTTGTCTTAAATACAACGTATCAACAGTCATTCAAGGAAAATCTACAATAGACAGGAAATCAAACAAGGGTTTCAGGCCAGGATGAAAAGATGTAGAAGCCAACCATTACTAGTCCTTCCTGACAACACTCTGTGGTCTTTTCTTAAGACTAATTAATACATTCATGATGTGATTCTTATGAAAGAGGACCTGACAGCAGACTGGAATAAAGAACACCAAAAGAAAAGTGCTGAATACTGCTTGGGGAAAAAGCACATACAAATGGCTTCATTTTTAGAGGACATTACATTGAAGAGCAGTGTGAAACGCAAAAGGACGAGGATTAATGCCATAATGAAGAAGAAAAAAAAACTGCAGTGAATGCAGAGGAACAGCCATCCTGCTCCTCTTCAACAGTATGCAGTGCACATTATTTGCGTTTTGGTTTTTCTGATATCTGAATAACTGTACACACAGTGGGAAAGTTCATTGACATTAAAGGACCTTCAAGGAAAAAGTTCATTTTGTAATAAAGACGCAGCAACCCTGAAGGTTTTGTTTAAACTTTCTTGAGCCTGTTGTTCATGCACACAGTATTTTACATCTTTTACACCATGTCGACACTGGAAGTGACTGATATCACAAGTTTTCACATTTGCATAAAATTTCATTTTGTACAAGTTATTTTAGAAGATTTTGGTGTAGTGGTCAGAATTAATTAAAATGTAAATGTAAATAAATACATTGCAATCAAATTACGATGATTTGAATAAAATGGTATTTTCGACGGATGGGAAAAATAAAGCCCGAGTGGCTCTACAGTGCTCAAAATAAAGAAACGGGCAAAAAGCCTATTACAAAAAGTTGTATTTAGAGGGAAAAAAACTTGAGAACTAAATAGAAAAAAAATAGAATCGGGCCATCAACAATATGATGTAATGAACCCTTCTTTGTAGCATTTAATAGGAGCTATTGATTTTTGTTACGTGCCGCTCGCATCCAGTGTTGACACAGCATCAAACTGTGAAGCATAGCTGTCAGGATTTTATCATTCTGGGTGAATAAATCAGAAAGAATACAAGGTCTTGCAATGGTCAGGCTGGAAAAAAAAGAGGTTTGCGCAATGTGTGAGCGCATGTTTTTCATCTTCTGGAAGCAGGACTGTGTGTGGACTCATGTGTAGCATGAGAAAGGGCATCATTGGTACACGGACATTCCTCGCCCTTTCTGCCCACCCCAACCAACAGGCATTCTTCCTGGCACAGAGCCTGGTATATATCAGGCTTTCCTATCTGGATGGTCCTGGCACACCAGAGCTCCTGCTGTAATACTGAGCGGCAATTAAAGGAATAGTTGACCCAAAAATGAAAACTGTAATTTCTCACCATCATATCGTTCCAAACCTGTGACTTTCTTCTGTAAAACACAAAAGAAGAAAAGTGGCATTTAGAAAAGTGTCTGTGTTTTTTGTCCATACAATTAAAGTCAATAAGAATTTAAAAAAAAATCAAAATAAAATTATATATATATATTTATATATATATATATATATGAAGAGTTAATTTGCAAAAACCGATAAACGCCACTTTAAAAAAAAAGAGCTGATTGCAATGCATTATTCTCCACCACATATAGCGTGATTTGAACCCTAAACACATTTTGTCAAAAAAGCAGTTTTTGTCCACTTTCAAGGCTTCACAAGTTCACGTTTTACTGCAGAAGCTGACAAGCGCCCTTTTGGAACAGAAGCTGATAAGTCCATTTTAGCGAATCAGCGCGCTGTATTCAGGTCAGGTGACAAGGCTACTTTCACTTTGAAAAGACGTGCTAGTTGAGAGGATTTTCGTCAAAGCTGACTAAAAGCGATCGAGGATGGATAATTTCGACGAACTTGATGACCTTTTATATCTTCTTCTGGGCGAAAAAGTAAAATAAAAGCTGAAACGCTTTCACGGAACCTTGCAAAAGCAGCGCTTTACAATGGTGAGGGAAAAGCTCTGTGTATTG